TTACTTAAGGTCATATGATTACCTAATTAACTCCGTTTTACTTAGTTCCTCTTTTTTCTTTCATGAGCACTTATCTTTCGAGGTAAGAAATGAGAAATCTTTCTCCTGTTACATGAATTCAATTTTGCTGTGATCATCGACATTTAGGTGCCAAATGACACCATCGACAAACGGGCGTGTATTTGAAAAGGTTGAAGCATTTTTATTTAAACGTGCTGTACCATTTCACAGCCTATATCCAGCTTACTGATTTTCATTTTGATTGGTTAACTGACATTTTTCTCCCATCAGGATAAATATAAAGGTTGAACTCCAACCTTAAAGGCCCCCCACCGCCCTTGCCTAGGATAAATATAATCTGCATATATGATTGTCTATTCTGTGTTTGTTGCTAATTTTCTTATTAAATATTTGTTTTATGAAATTTTAGGGAGCTAAAATTATTTACATTAACAATATTTATGAACACTTTTAAGTAACAGACAAAACAATTGTTTTCAATATGACAATTAGAACGCTCGATCAAATCCAAAATCTTAACAATATTTCTTCTCAGAAGTTTGAGAAGATATTACACAAACAAGAAGGGCAGCAACCAAACTAAAACAATCGAATGAACATATTAGATGTCGAGTACTTCAATAATCTTCGCTGCCTTCTTCATCATCAACACCCTCAGCACCAACTTCTTCATAGTCTTTCTCAAGAGCAGCTAAATCTTCACGAGCTTCACTGAATTCACCTTCCTCCATTCCTTCCCCAACGTACCAGTGAACAAATGCCCTCTTGGCATACATGAGATCAAATTTGTGGTTTATGCGCGAAAACACTTCGACCACTGCAGTGTTGTTGCTGATCATGCACACGGCTCGCTGCACCTTGGCAAGATCACCCCCGGGTACCACTGTCGGAGGCTGATAGTTAATACCACACTTGAAGCCAGTGGGGCACCTGTAAAATCCAGACATGGATGACTTTTGAGCAAATTCATGGCGAGTACTCAAACTTCTAAGGTAAAAATAACTCGTAAATGTATAAAAAGCCTTCCTAACTGTAATCAGGAGCAAGAGCAATATTCAATATGGGGTGATGTATTTTTATTCTAGTTGCACTCGCCGGCAAAATCCAATAAAAGAAAATGATGGTAAAGATTCAATGAATTTGATAATATATATACCCATCTAATAAATAAATTTAATTATGTGAAATAACTATGTTCATCATGTCAGTCAGGTTCATATTTTTGCCAAATTATATGCTGTTTCCTTACCAGTCAACGAACTGGACAGTTCGTTTGGTTTTGATGGTAGCAACAGCAGCATTGACGTCCTTTGGAACAACATCTCCACGGTACATCAAACAACAAGCCATGTATTTCCCGTGTCTTGGATCGCATTTTGCCATCATGCTTGAGGGCTCAAATACTGCATTTGTGATCTCGGGGATTGATAACTGCTCATGGTATGCTTTCTCAGCTGAGATCACGGGGGCATATGACGAGAGCATGAAATGGATACGAGGATATGGTACAAGGTTGGTCTGGAACTCTGTAATGTCCACATTAATGGCTCCATCAAACCGTAAAGAAGTGGTCAGGGATGATATGATTTGAGAAATCAAACGGTTCAAATTGGTGTATGTCGGCCGCTCAATATCTAGAGACCGCCGGCAGATATCATAAATGGCTTCATTGTCCAAGATCACAGCCACATCTGTATGTTCAAGAAGGGAATGAGTTGAGAGAACACTGTTGTAAGGCTCCACAACAGCAGTCGACACCTGCAATCAATGCCAAAGCCCACATTTAGGTCATGTGAAGATTGAAGAACAAAAGCGTTTGTTATAAGGTTAAATATATGCACCTGGGGAGAAGGATAGATGGTGAAACCGAGCTTTGATTTTTTCCCATAGTCCACAGACAGGCGTTCCAATAGCAGTGAACCTAATCCAGATCCCGTTCCACCACCAACAGCATTGAACACCAAAAACCCTTGCAAACCAGTGCAGTTATCCGCCAACTTCCTCACTCTGTCCAAGCATAGATCAACAATCTCTTTCCCAACTGAAAAAAAGATTACCAAAATCAGATTAATAGCATAAAAAACAGATGCACAAAATTCCATTGACTAACAATTTCTACAGTTATCGATCCACATGAAATTAACATATTCTCTTAGAAAGTTCCTGGCTGGATATACAATTTTTTCAAATTAATTGTTCATTGATTCAATAGCTACACTGAACCTGCCTTTGCCCAGTCACTTAAGACTGCCACAAGCTATCAATCACGGACTTGATACCACATGCTTAAAAATTTCAGTGCAAACCCATTCGTGAACTCCTCAAACGGCAAAATTTTACACCTGTATAATGGCCACGGGCGAAATTATTAGCAGCATCTTCCTTTCCAGAAATGAGTTGCTCTGGGTGGAAAAGCTGGCGATAAGTCCCTGTCCGGACTTCGTCAATGACAGTCGGTTCAAGATCAAGAAATATAGCCCTGGGTACATGCTTCCCCGAGCCTGTCTCGCTGAAGAAGGTGTTGAATGCATCATGTGCAACACCCACTGAGGTGTCACTGCAAACCCACAGAAAAAAGTACATTCATTAAACTTCATAGTTCATTAATAGATCCACGCTTATTATTGCGAAAATCAATTATTCAATCTTCAACTAAATACAAGATAAAACAAGGGATCGTAATTCATTAACTACCGAGTAAAATGATAAACCATTCAAATCATTTGTCAAATGCAATATAGCCCTCAAATCACTTTATCAATTCCAAAATTAACGTTCATTTAACCACATTAAATAATTATACCTACAAATCGACAGATAACATCAATTACAATGAAATTATACGTAAGATTAGAGACAAACCTAGGCATCATGCCATCGGGTTGGATGCCATGTTCAAGGCAATAAAGCTCCCAACATGAATTACCCACTTGGATCCCTGCTTGACCAATGTGTATGCTAATTATTTCTCTCATTTTTATCTCTCTCTCTCTCTAGAAAATCTTCAGACTAAAACCCTTTGCTTCTTTCTCTCTCTGGAGGCCTCTTTGATCGGATTCAGAAACGTAGCTCCTCGCTATATACTCACAGACATATACGTGTATATGTAAGTATAGTCTTGACCAAAAAAATTTTGAAGACAGAAATGTCCAGATATTTATGATATGTTTCGAAATATTGTAATATTGATCCTCAAATTGTTATATTAGTAACAAATTAACCCATGACCTCTAAAATACTGCAAATTTGTTCCCAACAATTGTTATAAATTAATTCCGGAATCAATGGACTTGGACGAAAATTGGATTGAATCAATTAGTTCGGTTATCTTGAGTACTAAAATTTGGTTCTCAAGTCTATTTTAGGAATTGAAAATTAATATAGTTTCAATATTATTTTTATCATGTATTAAATTAATTATATTTGTATTTTGAATTATTAACATTTTGTTATTCAAAATTGGAAAAAGCTGGATAAAAAATGTAGACAATTGTTTATACTTTGTAAATTTTTCTAAATGCAATGTTAGCTATTTTAATGGCATCGATTGGAATGAGGGAGAGCGGCTCGATCTGAAAAAAAGGAAGAAGCAGAGATGAACTAAATCATATGATCAAAACACAATAACATGAGGGCACCTCTATAGGCGCAAAAATCTAGTTACAGACCCTAATGGACGTGTGATGAATATGAGAAGCATCTACTCGATAAGCCTATATGCTGTGAATGGGAGGGTAGCAAACAACATTGTTGAAGATAAACTATTTGACATTATCAATGAAATCTTTAGCAATAATCAACCAATATATGCGATCAAGAGATATGAGATCATTTCATATTGAAAAGGAAAATAATGTTTAATAAAAATGTGCATATAAGGGTCACATAAAAATTTAATCGTTGAATCTAGATTGAGATACATATCCATCTCTCCTAATACAAAGTGCCTATTTAATAGATGTATATGGTTTTATTATTGGAGTTTAAAAAATTAAGGACTAACTTACTACCTATCAATAAATTAGAGACCAATATTACAATTTTCCTTATTTTGTGGAGGGAATGACCGAATATTTAATTAATAAATAGTTGGAGTCCCAATGTAGGCGTGCCAATAAGTGCCAGCCCGATAATGGGGCCACTTATCTCGCTGTGGTTTCTATTTTCCATGAAATGACAAAATTAACCTTATATTTAATGTCCCTAGTTATTGTCAATCTTTGGTGAGTGCAAAATGAAATGTGGTCACAATGGGCTGTCTCATTACTCGACCAGGGTGTACCATGTGCAGAGAGGGAATTTAATCTAAAAAAAGAAAGAAGCAGCAGCAGCTAGCTCATTGATTACAATGCTGTTTGGCAGAAATTTAAATTATATTTTTAATGAATTTCGATAAATTTTGATGAAATATACGGTTGAAAAATTATGAATTTTATAAAATATGAAGTTAAAATTAATTGTTGACTTTAACTTAAATTAAAATAATCCTTACCAAACAAGGAATATATATTTTATTGGGACGACTTTTAATCAAATAAAGTCTTCATGAAAGTTACACTATTGATCCCTTGTTACTGAATTGGTGAGTCAGAGTCGGACTCGAGATTTTCAAGTTTGAACTTTAAAGTTGGATCTTCGAATCATAATGCACATTCAAATCTTTTTCTTCATTAAAATTTTGATCTCAAATTCAATTTTTTGTTCCATAATCCATAGAACGCCAAGAGGAAAAAGGAAATCGAAATATCTTGAAACTAGTGAATACTAACTTTCCAATACATACCATCAAAATTCAGATGAAATAAATTTAAAATCGACTACATAAACAAAAAATCGTCAATGATAAATTATTGTCAAGGATCTCATAAATAAAAACGTCAAAATTTTACTTTCTTGGCACAATTGAACTATGTTAATAGATATGAGAGAGATTACAGAAATAAAAGACGAGGCGGCCAGAGTTTGAATGAATTGAATCTGGACTATGGAACTTCTGCTGGCATATTCATTTTAGGGTTCCGTTATATGGACTATAATATATTTTGGCCCATTTAATTTTACCACTTAATAGTAAGTCCATATTTTCCATTTTCACAGAGACAAAACCACGTTTTGTTCACTCTCCTCTTTCACCGTTTGAAGGAAAGGAAGAAAGGGAGAAAAAGAAAAAATAATGGGAGAGGAGAAACCAAAATCAGCTGGAGCCTGGCCAACTGTGAAGCCCTTTGTTAATGGTGGTGTTTCTGGTATGCTTGCTACCTGTGTCATTCAACCCGTTGATATGATCAAGGTAACAGTCCACATGGATTATTTTTTTTCTTGAATAAATTTTAGGTTCTTAGTATTGTTTTTAGATCTTGAATAAAATGGGCCCTTTTCGAATATTTCTGTTTAATCTTCACGTTATCCCTTCAAAGTTAAGTTTTTTTAATAAGTTTCAGATCTCAGGTAAATGGGTTTTTGTTTAAATTCGATTTGCTTATAGTTAAAGTGCATTTCAAAGTTAAGAAAAGATGGAATCTTTGTGGGTTTGTTTAGATCTAATTGTTTGATGGGTTCGAATTAAATCTTGAAATTGTTTATCTGATCTGTGAGGCTCTATTGCTCATTTTGCAGGTGAGAATTCAATTGGGTCAGGGTTCTGGGGCTGAGGTGATCAAGACCATGCTAAAAAATGAGGGAATTGGTGCCTTCTACAAGGTTCAGTTTTTGTTAGTATTGGTGATCCTTACTAGAGAAAATTTTATACTGTGGTGTTCAATTTGTAGCATTGAAGTCGTCTATATGTGGTAAAAGATGAACCTTTAGTCGATTTTGCTCACGAAATTGTGGCAGCTTTTGTGGTATGGTCGCTTTCTCGTGACATTTGGCACATTTTCCTTTTTCTTTTAAATTGGATGGCACTAAAGAAATTAGTTGGGGCAGTCTCCTATCTTCTCCAGTAATCAAGTGTTCGATGTGTGCTAAAAGATGAAACCTTAGTAGATTTGGCTCACGAAGTTTGGCACATTTTCTTTTTTCTTTTAAATTGGATGGCACTAAAGAAATTAGTTTGCAGTCAAATAATATTTTGCGCTCGAACTGACATTATATCATTTTTGCAGAATGCTTATCTATGATGCACTGACACTCTCCTCGCAATGGTGAATCAGTGTCTGGCATGTTGCCAATACTTGTCGGATATGCTAGGTGTCGTGTCCAAATTATTTTCTCCTTATTAGTTGGAAACACGCTAAGGGTTACATTGTCGCCGGAATTAGCAAAAACAAATTTACGTTCCAATTTAACAAACAAGAATGAAAAATAAAAAATAAAAAAAATGTGTCGTATCAAATTCGACATTCGTGCACGTGTCAGTGCTTCCTAGATGCTTGCTCTTGTGATTTTCTTTTGAAGACCTGAATAATATCTATATTTTTTAATGCTTTTTCAAGTTCTACAGTTGCTCTTCTGTTGCCAAAGTATTACCTTCCCTAATAATTATTGTTGTATTATTGTCTCTGCAGGGTTTGTCGGCTGGGCTTCTTAGACAAGCTACATATACAACTGCCCGACTTGGTTCATTCAGGTGAGTTATTACTTGTAAATATGGTCAACTGAAAAAAGTTACGGCCATGTGTATAGTTAGTCGAAATGAAGAAATGCATTAAAATATCTAAACAAGAGGATTGTTTTGAATCAATCAAGTTGGTTATGCAGAGGGTTATTGAACATCTTGTGTGATTTCAATTTGAACAATCCTGCATCACTGGTCTACATTTTTCCAAGCTGTATAATACGTTGAAATCTTCCCGTTCAATAGGATGTTGACTAACAAGGCAATTGAGGCCAATGATGGGAAGCCCTTGCCGCTGTATCAGAAGGCTCTGTGTGGTTTGACTGCGGGAGCCATTGGAGCTTGTGTAGGCAGTCCTGCAGATTTGGCACTTATCCGCATGCAGGCTGATGCAACATTGCCTGCTGCTCAGCGCAGGAATTATACAAATGCATTTCATGCCCTCTATCGAATTGTTGCTGATGAAGGAGTTTTGGCACTCTGGAAAGGTGCCGGTCCTACTGTTGTGAGGGCTATGGCACTTAACATGGGAATGCTTGCTTCTTATGATCAAAGTGTGGAGTTTTTCGAGGGTAATCTTGGATTTGGCGAGACTGCTACAGTGATAGGTGAAATACTCTTTTGAATTGGATCTATAAATTATAACTTTTTTTTCGAACATGTTTTGATAACTTTCAGTAAAAAAGGTTACTTTACTGAAAAAGTATCTCTGACTTTACAGTTGTTTGGTTTGGTTTGGTTGTATTTTACACATTAATCCGTTCTTGTTTCTTTTCAGGGGCGAGTAGTGTATCAGGGTTTTTTGCTGCTGCTTGCAGTTTACCATTTGATTATGTCAAAACCCAAATACAGAAAATGCAGCCAGATGCTGCAGGGAAATTTCCATATACTGGTTCTTTTGATTGTGCCATGAAAACACTAAAAGCAGGAGGTCCTTTTAAGTTTTACACTGGATTTCCTGTATATTGTGTTAGAATTGCGCCTCATGTCATGGTATGGACTCTCTCCAATTCTCTCTTTATGCGTGTATTCTTGTCGACCCACATTATCTGAACCTTTGACGACTATTGTTATCCATTGTAGATGACATGGATATTCCTGAACCGAATTCAAAAATTGGAGAAGAAGGCTGGATTATGATTCTAAGTGAAATCCAAGATCTTCATTTGAGCTCAACTCACAAATAATATTTTTGGCCATGTTCAAGTCAAGGTTACAATAAATTTACAGGGATTGATAGGTTGTTGTTCTGATCGGAGTATAGAGTAGGGATTTGGTGTTTCCAAATTATTTTCGAGTTCAAATAATCTATGTACTCATCAACTATTCTCTTTGACAGAGACCTTTTGTTTTGCATCAATTTTGATAATAGTATGCATTTGTTCTCACTTTGGTGAGCAAATTTGGTGGAAATTTACAGGGAATTTTAGATAACTTATGCTCACACCAGCAAAAGTTTCCGTAGCTGAACCTGGCATAACCAATCATGGGCTGGGTCGTGCTTTTGACGAGCCAAGATTCACTGGCTTTTAAGGATGCTTTGGCAGTGAGTTTCCATTGCTAAATCACGAGGTGGATCGTGCTGGCTACTCAGGTATTGCACAGTTTAACACCTCTGGTCGAAGCGTTTAAGGTGAATTTTAAATGGTGGTCTATATAGAAAGCAAATCATGCTACTTGTACAGAAAATTCTTACACTTTGACAGAATGCCATTGGCCTGTTTAAAGAGACAGTTTTTGCACCAATTACACATGGTTTTCTGTACAAAATGGCAAAGCTCATAAAAAGCTCCAACAAGAAGAATAAAACAAGTGCTTTGAATATTTAGCCGAGTAAATCCCGTAGAAATCAACAAATCTTTATACACCACAATATAATAATTTGCAGTTTTCCCAAATATTTATGGAAATCTAATTTATTTTATTCCCGTAGAATAATTTCTTTTAATCCCATTTAGTTTCTTATATACACATGCTCAACAGGATTCCGTTTCAATTCCAATGTCTTCCCAATTTCTCTTTCTCTTTCCAGCTTAATTTTCTTCTTCATCAACAATACTACCAATGGCAATATTACCAGAAAGGATACTGAAGGAGCATATTTTCGTCTTCTCAAATTTGGGACCCGAGCGCAATTAGCATTTCCTTTCATGTTCCTTTTTGTCTGATGCTCCATTTTCTTCGTTTTCGATAATTCTTGCACTAATCATTCCTTGAAGAATGTATTCAGTAAACGAATCTAAGGATCGAGTTCAGTTAGGGCGGATCACAAGTGTTGGAAAGCTTACCATCGATGATTAAATAATATTCAAAAAATCGTACGGATTAGAGTTAGATACACCACTAAAATTAGAACTAGGTAAAAATCATTCCATAATTTGCAAAATGTCCTAATTTATTTTTCAATTAAATATGTAATATATATCAACAAAATGCTAATATTTAGTTTACAATTAAAATTAATTAAACAAGCATTATTATATTAACAAAATTGAAATTATTTATGTGCTTGGATGATTTCACTTTTCGGAATCGATTCTTTGTGAACGAAAAGTGAAACATCCAAATTTCCTACAAATTTATCCACCATTAATTGACTAAACTCTCAAATCAATTTATTAGAGGGGAAAAAAATCAAGAAGAGGGACAGCACAGGTTAAAATGTTTCTAATTGTATTAAACCAGTAAAATTGAACATATATTATTTTGTTACATTATGCTAAAATCAATAAGTGTCTTGATGGTGAAGTGGTCAATTTGTTTAAGAAAGTTAGTAGGTTTGAATCACCTTCCAAGCATTTGTTTTGGTAATAATTGTTGAAATACAAAAATTATAAAAAAATATTGCTCTTAAAGAATTTTGAACCCAAGATCTCTAATTCAATAGTGGAAGAGCTAACCGAGCTACTAGAGATATTTGTTATTAATATCAGTTATTAAATATATAATCTAAAAATTCTATCTATTATTAATAAAAATAAATAAAATGTCTCCCCAACGAATCGCTCTAACTGGCCACCACCTGAATTCGCCCCCGATTGAGTAACAGGTCCCAGTTTTCTTAGATATCTTACTATTTCTTTTTCTATCAAAACACCCTACAAAACCCCGATATATGTAGGAACGGATCCAGAAATTCATGTTGGGGGAGTTGAAATTTAAAATAAGTTGAATACAATTTTTTTATATATAACAAAAAAAAAAAATTTAATAAAAAAAAAAAAAAAAAAAAAAAAGAAAAACAAATTCTAATTATGACATTACAAGTTGTGTCCGCCAAACTTTAAGAGCGTAAAACTCATCTCTAAGAGAATGTACGACTATTTTTCTCAGAAATTCTCGTTCAATATAAAGTGTCATACAATGAGCAAAAAACTCATCCTCCATTTGTCAAGAATTGTTATCTTTACATGCTTCATTGTTAAAAAAGCTCACCCAGTAATTACTGTAGATACATGTAGTGTCAATACAAGAATAATTAATCTAGTCAGAATAATATCTCTCTCTTACCTTCTACTTGCAACCACGAGCTTGCATAATTTAGAAAGTGGAGGCAATTGAAATCGCGAATCAAGTCATTCTCGTAATGTTGCAACTCAAACCTCAAAAAACGAACATCTTGTTGTGTAAGATCACCTTGATAAAACTTCTCTGCGAGTTTGCAAATATCTTTGACGTTGAATTATTCAAAAGAATTTTGAGGATCCAAAGCAACCATAAGAGAAAGGAGTTCTACCGATAGCTCATTAAATCTCGTATTTGATTCCATCAACTAAAATCTATTGCTTTATTAAAGACTTTGAAGTGTTAATGATGCTCGGTTGTAACTTGCTCACGGGGACGACCGATCTTAAATATATAAAATTTTGTTGATTTCTTCCACAGATTTGGAAGGTAAAAACATGTTGGAATTATTGAGAGGGAAGCGATTAGCATACGCGGGTGATTCTTTGAATAGGAACATGTGGGCATATAAGGTTTGTCTTCTCTGGAATTCAGTAGAGGATAAGAGCAAAGTGTTTGAGGACTCTGTTAAATACGAATTCAAGAAAAGAAGGCATCGCGTTCTTGGTTTAAGAGCAAGTTTGACCCTGTTTGAAACCATCTTTTTCGGTAAATATTTGGACAGTTATGCCCAAATAAACCGAAAAAAGCATCCACTCGAAGAGGGATAATTCTCGTATCCAATGTTTCTCATTTCAGGTGAAGTTAATGTTGAAAAGCTTGTGCATAATTTATATATAACAACTAAGTGAGAAAAAAATCATATAGTGTTGATAAAAAAGAGTTATGAAGTACTTATGGGATCCGCGAAATATGTGTATAAAAAATAATTTGACTTTAGCACTATAAACACTTTCCAAACATACTCTTCGTTGTCGACTGATCCAAACCATGTTCCAAATTGTTGTTATGGAAATTACACCGTTCATTTTGCTCCAAGTTGATTGTAGCACTCAAACTTTGTTTTAAGTTGGTACTCTGTCCAAGTTCGTCATCTTGATGAAGAGAAAAGATGATGAATAATGCTAGTTTATCAAAAAGTAGGTGACAAATAGAGTGACATAATAAGTGTCGACAAAAAATGATTGGATGAAAAAACCGACTGTATTTTAAACAATCCAATGATATATTCTCATTTGACGTTATGTCAAGAATTATGTCAACCATTATGTTTATATAGCATGATTGAAAGATGATATGATAGTCAAATCATTTGCCAACTAGGAAGCCAAGTCAGCATTTCCTATGGTGAACAAAATTGTTCGAGTTCAGTAACAAAGCTGAAAGTTTAGTGAACAATATGAAATACCGGACCACTGATAAAGCTTGATCAAAAGCTCCTTACCCTTGGATAATCATGAATGACACATGTAAACAAGTAAATTTTAACCAAACAAACCTCCATCTTCCTAGTCACAAGCTATCATCACGGATTTCCATTTTGCAACCACTTGCATTTTGTGATCTTCCCTTCAGGATGGAGCATAAAAGCGCTCCGTTCAAAAATGCGGATGTACATCTGAAACAGCTTTAGCAACAAGTAACAAATTGAACTATAAATTCATCTCATATAGTATATCACTCCATTATGAAAGAAAAAGCTCCAAAAAAAGGTTATTGAGCCGATGTAGTATGGAAAGTCGAAACACCAAACATAAAATAAACCTTAAAAAAAACGAACACTTATCATTGTCGCTGGTTTGATACAACAAATATCCACGACCATCTTTCACTTCAGCAGTTGCCGAGGTGAGCTTCAGGCAAACAATACAAAGATATAAAAATAAACCCCAGTAAGTTCAAGAAAATCACTTGGTAATAGTACAGAACTGATGTTGGAACAAGTCTACATAGTAGGATTTTTCTCACCTGAACCTAAGCACTAGGGAAGTAGGGCACCTCTGGCACTAGTAACATATAAACAACACAAACCAGATACTTCAGACACAACTTCTGGAGAGAACAATGTAGCAAGACTAACTATTTACTAATACTCACAAAGCAATGAATATTAGGTTACAAGAAACTACTAAAATTATTGATAAAAAACATTGTTAGTCGCTCAACTCATAGCCAAGTTTCACATTAGACTTGTTGGTCACCAAATTTTATATTGTTTTGAAGCGGTCACATAAAGTTCACTTCTTGATTCGATTTTGTAGCACAATTATATTTGATTAGTTTTACAACGAATATCCAATGGGGAAGTCAACAATTGGACGTGGCATAAACATAGATATCTTCCACCATGAAACATTCTATTCAAAAATTTGACCTTTGCTTTAAAGTTGAGTGATAAATAGTGTTTCCTACCCAGATTGAAAGCTGAAACACAAGCCTGACATCAACTTGAATTACAAAGTGTACAATATCAAAATATGCATGAATTTATCATAACCATTAAACAAAACTACCAAATTACCATACTAATCATAAATAAAGGATAACATAAACTGAAACCTATTTGCATCTATCCATTGCAAACCAAATATTTACAAAACTTCCCTTCTACACCCACTCCCCTAACCAACTAAAAAAAGATGAAAGATAAACCAGCATCGGAAATGAAATCAGGTGGACTTTTGCCATGAGTTTCAAAGCAAGTGAAGTTAAAACACGAGAAACAAGACCCATTCTTCCTCTTTAGACAAGTGAACATAACTGCTAAAGATTTTCTCCCGTGGGAAACTATAACGAGTGAATTGTTCATAGAAGAGACTTACATGATGATAAATACATGTCACCACTACTGCCAATGCTCTTCTTTGAGCACTTATTTTCCTCTGCCAATGCCTCAGTCCTCAACATACTTCCATGTAATCTCTTTATCCGCTGCATGCAAATCCATGTCCATACAAACATCTCCTCCTACTGTCATAGGCTCGGATGGTCAACATTAATACTCTGTCATCTCTTTATCCCCTGCTTGCCTAACCAATTCCATAAAAACATTTGCTCCTCTACTGCCAATGCTCTTCTTTGAGCACTTATTTTCCTCTGCCAATGCCTCAGTCCTCAACATACTTCCATGTAATCTCTTTATCCGCTGCATGCAAATCCATGTCCATACAAACATCTCCTCCTACTGTCATAGGCTCGGATGGTCAACATTAATACTCTGTCATCTCTTTATCCCCTGCTTGCCTAACCAATTCCATAAAAACATTTGCTCCTCGTGCCGCAGGCTCGGATACCTCAACATGAACATTACCAACCGTCTCCACTCCTACGTGATCCTGATTGTTTTCATCAATGTTAGTCTCTTCTTTCCCATCAATGTCTGCAAAGTTCTCTGCACCCTTATTAGTTTCAACAAATTCATAATTGTTTTTCACTTCCTTTACTTCTACATCTGCAAGGTTCTCCTCGATCTTATCTGTTTCCATTTTCACTTCAACGTCCACTAAAAAATTTTGCACAGGCTTTGCTGCTGCTTCTACACCTTCATTATTGTTATTTGATTCGACATTCCCTTTAGAACTCCCACCTTCCTGATTGTACTCGCCCAAATCCACATAATTCTCCTCTATGGCATGGGTCTCATCCCCGTCACTACTGCTCTCATTTTCTGAGTCATTCTCCATCACCTCTTCATTAATCTCCCCCCCAACTTCGTGTTCCGGCCTCTCAAGACCCTGCAACCTCCTCCTCAAATCCCCCAGCTCCCTCTCCATCAGGAACAGCCTATCCTTCAAAATCAAATTCTCTTCTTCTAGTTGTTCAATGTGTGCATCCTGTTCATCCATTTTATTCTCCAACAAATTATTCTGATATTCAAGTCCACCAACACCAACACTGTTTGGTTTGTATGTCATCTCAAAACGACTCAAATCATGATCTAATCTCCTCTCGACCTCAACATGCTCCTCCAAATCACTCTCGCTTGACCCTCCCTCATCTTCCTCCTCGTCTTCATGTACCTCCATTTCATGGCCTGCTGATCTCAACCGAATCAACCCCTTCATTGAACCATAACCATCAAGACCCCACTCTTCCTTCGCCATATCCACTAAAACCTCCCGCGATGGAGAGAAAATTGGAGTTGGCAAAATTGCAGGAGTCACTGGGTATGGAGAAACCAACGGTGCAATCCCACCACTCTTCTTAGCCCTTATAAGAAAAGAGGTCGTGTTCCTTGGAGCAAATGGAGCAAACCTTTTATTATTACTACCCATTGTCGAATTCATGTTATTGTTCTTATTGAAATTCTTTTTGGAGAAGAATTTCCGTGCCTTCAACTTATTCTGATGCTGCAGTTCATTCAAAGTTGGAGGGTTATAATTAAAATTCTTATGCCCACTGCCACTGATAACATTGACACCACTACCACAAGGACCAATACTAGGGCCAGGCATCAGGGGTTTCTGCTGGTCATTCCGCCTCTTGTCGTACGGCTTACCTACCTTCTTCCCCTTCCAGTTGCTCCTTGGACCCAACCCCAATTGCCTGGATGACTTATTGGAAGTAACAGATGGGGGTGGTTTCATACCTACAAGGTTCGTGTTAGGTTTAGGGTTCTGGAATTGTGGTTGTGCCAACGGTGGGACCCAATTTCCGTGGCTCCGATTCATAGCCATCTGCGGATGAGGTTGAGAATTCTTCATCGTGTTAAGCGATTCCGAACTCATTAGATTTGAAAAGTGTCGTTCTTGATTTGTTCTAAAAATTACCTGCCGCTGCGGTTGCGTATTCATTTGGCTCATGCCAATCATTTGATTCTGATTCATGGCCATGGCCATCATTTGTTGATGCTGCCGCCGTTGTGATTGCGAATTCATCATCGTTGAAGCTTGCTCATTCATTTCGATATATGTCAATCGAAAAAAAAAAAAATCAAAAAAATGCAAATAAACCCTAAAAACGGCAGACAATAATTTTGAAAGATAAATTTTCCCCTTTATTATCTCTCGAAGAATTAGATACTTTAGGTTTTCAAATTCCAGAAAATCAAAACCCGAAACCCACTAAGAAATTAATGAGATTTATATTGCACAAACGAAATTCCAGATCAAGAAAGATAAATTAATACTCGAATTTGTAATTTTACTTTCAGAATCAATCTAGAATTCTTCAATTTTATTTGCAGTAATTCGAATTTCGGAGCTTTTAAGACTTCTTTCGGAAAAAGATATGATGTCTTCTACCTGCAGTAAAGGGGGTAAGGGATTGGGCCAAAGAGGTCTGTCGGTTGGGGTTCTGCTAAGGACAATGAACGGATAAGATTAGAATATTATCGGTAAATGAGTTCTGTTCGAATCAGGTTTTGTATAATTTGAATTGACGAGATTGACCTTAGATTATCTGCTAATCACAATAAACTGCCACTGAATATTTAGCGTAACGACGCCGTATTCGATATTACCGTCATAGGTTTCTTTTTGCACGCGAATGTTTCGTGAGCACGTCAATATGGACGGTTGGCACTTCAATTTGAAAATTTGCTCATGTTTGATATGAGATACAAAAGTTGATTAAATTTTAAATTAAAATTATTAATCAATTTTAATTATATAATTTGGGCATGTTTGAGCCACATTATTTTTCTAAAAATACGTTTTAAAATAATAGATTGAAAGCGAATATATTAGTAAAAAAAAAAAGTTTTAAAGTTGCTTATAACATTATTTTATCGAAAAAAGTGTGGTTGAAAAAAAAATGTATTTTGAAAAAAAACAAGGGTAGATTCAAGATTTTTCAACTACTTGTACCATTGACATTTTTCAATATCCACTAAAAGTTTAGGTCGCGTTTGTTTTCCATTCTTTGGCCAAAAAAATGAAAAATTTGATAATTATTCATCACATCAAACCACTATATTTGACTTCCTCTCTCTTATGTGAGTCCCGTAACGACTATAACCCCATGAACTAATTTTGAATGCTAGGCCTTAATTTCATCTTGATTTGATGACCAAAAATTAGAAATGATACATGTTCAAGTAGTATAGGCGAGGATCGGTAAAGAGCTTCTTTGGCTCCTACCTTTATAGGTGAGGATGTAACATCTATGTGTAAAACAAAACGATCAAAATAGGGTAGCAGCCTAAATTCTATGATTTGAAAAGTTTCTAATGCTACAAAACCAGCTTTACGCTACGTCTTGATTGCTCCATTCTAGAGAAAGTATTGCCTTTCGGATATAAAAAGCATTCAGGCGCAAGTAAGACAAGTTATGCGAATCAAACTTCTGCTACTAATCAATCAATCGAAAACCCGAAACCCACTAAGAAATTAATGAGATTTATATTGCACAAACGAAATTCCAGATCAAGAAAGATAAATTAATACTCGAATTTGTAATTTTACTTTCAGAATCAATCTAGAATTCTTCAATTTTATTTGCAGTAATTCGAATTTCGGAGCTTTTAAGACTTCTTTCGGAAAAAGATATGATGTCTTCTACCTGCAGTAAAGGGGGTAAGGGATTGGGCCAAAGAGGTCTGTCGGTTGGGGTTCTGCTAAGGACAATGAACGGATAAGATTAGAATATTATCGGTAAATGAGTTCTGTTCGAATCAGGTTTTGTATAATTTGAATTGACGAGATTGACCTTAGATTATCTGCTAATCACAATAAACTGCCACTGAATATTTAGCGTAACGACGCCGTATTCGATATTACCGTCATAGGTTTCTTTTTGCACGCGAATGTTTCGTGAGCACGTCAATATGGACGGTTGGCACTTCAATTTGAAAATTAGCTCATGTTTGATATGAGATACAAAAGTTGATTAAATTTTAAATTAAAATTATTAATCAATTTTAATTATATAATTTGGGCCTGTTTGAACCACATTATTTTTCTAAAAATACGTTTTAAAATAATAGATTGAAAGCGAATATATTAGTAAAAAAAAAAAGTTTTAAAGTTGCTTATAACATTATTTTATCGAAAAAAGTGTGGTTGAAAAAAAAATGTATTTTGAAAAAAAACAAGGGTAGATTCAAGATTTTTCAACTACTTGTACCATTGACATTTTTCAATATCTACTAAAAGTTTAGGTCGCATTTGTTTTCCATTCTTTGGCCAAAAAAATGAAAAATATTATCGTTATTCATCACATCAAGTCACCATATTTGACTTCCTCTCTTGTGTAAATCCCGTAACGACTATAACCCCATGAACTAGTTTTGAATGCTAGGCCTTAATTTCATCTTGAATTGATGACCAAAAATTAGAAATGATACATGTTCAAGGAGTATAGGCGAGGATGGTAAAGAGCTTCTTTGGCTCCTACCTTTATAGGTGAGGATGTAACATCTATGTGGAAAACAAAACGATCAAAGTAGGGGAGCAGCCTAAATTCTATGATTTGAAAAGTTTCTAATGCTACAAAACCAGCTTTACGCTACGTCTTGATTGCTCCATTCTAGAGAAAGGGGATATAAAAAGCATTCAGGCACAAGTAAGACAAGTTATGCGAATCAAGCTTCTGCTACTAATCAGTCAATCAAACATCCTGATATCAATCAATAAATCGAACATGCTAATATCAAACCTATTAGGTTCGATTTACTCTCTTCCTCTTCTTTGATTTCTTGTCATGAACCTTTCTTTTCTTTTTTGATGAACCTAGCGGTAGTTTTTGACGTTTGGTAATTGTTCTCTCTGACTCGACATCTTCGGCATCGGTGGTGTCACTCACTGAACCGTTTTCGTCTCTGTCTTCATCGGAACTCAGGAAGAAGTCCTCCACAACATCTTCATCAAGAGCTGTCTGTTCTTGAGGATCCTTCTGTTTCCTAGTTTTTTCCTTTTTCTCCTCTTCTTTAAGCTTAATCCTAAGGCACAGGGAACACCAACAATATACAGTAAGTAAAAACCCACAGATAATAAATTATACACACAGAAATAGAGATAGAGTACTTTGAATCCCGTCCAGGTAGCCACGCAGAATTAAAGACGCGTGCCCCTTTCCCCCATCTACTATTATCATCATCTTCTTCTTCATCATCGTCCTCCGTCTTATTCCCGAAGGTGGATGATTTTTCACCGATAAGTACACTGGAAAAAACACATCCAGTGTTAAGGTTGCTATAAAGATATTTTCGAGAGAGCATTTATCAAGATATATATAGCTAGTAATCAACCTCGATTCCATCATTGTGTCATCTCTTTGCTGTGCTCTCTGGCGTAGAGTGGCAGCATACTGTGACAGGGGGCTAGCCTCTGATTTTTTCTCATCCTAACATACAGGAAAAAATATTTAATCAGCAGCATTTCTCATCCTAAGAAGGAAAATTAACATCAAAATGCAAACCTCGAGAAAAGATGCCACTTCAGGGTCATTCGGCAAGAATGAAACTGTCGCCCTTTTCTTATTTGTAAATTCAGAATTGGTGTTGATCTATGGCATTGAACACTATCCACATTAGATAACACTGCATACACTTCTTTAAATACAAAACTTAAGCAAATAACTAACTATAGGTTATACCTGACGAATAAGGTTCCTCATTTCTCGTCGAAACCTCTCAACTTTTGTTGATTTACAGAAGTTACGCAATCGAACAGAAGGTACAAAAGACAATTCAAAGAAGGCAACAGAATAGCTCCATTGAGCTAGATGTTCAGTAAGCTCTTCGACCACAGAGAAAACACATGCTTCCTGAAATGCTCGGGTTTTTAAGGTAGTTTTGCTCACCTAATTCGTAAAATGAATCCACATCAATAACAATACCATCGCTGGAAACAAAATGTTGTAAAAAAACCAACATGTGAAATACCTTGAGCACAGCTCGCAAATCTACAGCTTTTCCAACTCCTCCTGTAGGAGGTTTGTGCAATTCTTTAATTTCCAGCATGTCTAGAAGGAGCAGAGAAACTGGGATCAAGGTGCCCGTTGAAGCAGCAATGCGGTTAAGCATCCTCACACAACGCAATCTGAGGGGAAAATATTGAGCAGTGGGAACTAAACGAGCTACGCCAGAAATAATTTGAGACAATGGATAAGCAAGGGGCCTCAAATCGCCTTCTGAGCTATTTGCGCATATAGCTCCAGTCCAAAGCTCCAGGCAATTAATATATTTCCATTGATAAACCTTTCTATATATTTCCTGCACGAGGGTTGAGCAAAATTGTGTGAAAACAGAGGATCTGCACTAGGAAAGGGTCATCTGCAGTATGGGTAATTAAATAATTTTAACTATAATCATCAAAAATATATGTTCATTCATGAATCACAGTTTTGGAACACGTTTTGAAACACCGAAAGAAAAAATTGATCAGCTAACAGCAACAAGATCAAAAGTTGCTTTAGGATACAGCAAGAATATATCAACAAAATTCTTGTCCAATTCTACTCCAGAAGGGCCAGAATATACCTTCTTTTTTGTAGATTCTGAAAGTGCTTCCTTTAAGATCAATGCTAACTGGCGAATGTAAGTGAAGGCATGTTGGTATGAAGACAGGAGGTCCACCCGAAGAAGTTCAATAAAACAATTACCAAGAAACTGAATGTGCTGTAGTTTGGTCGCATTAACAAGTTGGCAGTTCAAAACATAGCCTTTATACATCCCTTTGATGCAATCATCTAAGCAATCAGAACCGAGTCGTATGCACAAGTCCCTCAATAATAAAAAGGAGACAATCGGCAGAGCACCACCTCCGGTGCCCCAGAAATGAAGAGCAACCTGAAATACAGAATAGTATATACATAATACTTGAGATTGGAACC